GATCTTCGCGATTGTGTTACATTACACCAAATTGTGATTAATTATTGGTTAATTTGATGTAGATCGTCACGTAAAAGTAACATTTTGGTGCACTTCATCAGGGGAAAGGGGAAAGTCTCCGGACACCTACCAGTTCACATAATTTTGCACCTACCAAAAAATTAAAGTTTAAGTAATAATTGCTAAATATTTTATTAAGAGAAAGCAAATTTAGCCTCTAATTAAAGTTGCAAAGGCCATTATTAAGATTCTAATAGTATCAGAATCACTAAAATTGGTTCATTGTATCTTGAAATATAAGCATTTAAATCTTTGTGAATATGCAAAAACCTACTGTACCTACCATATAATCGTGAAGATAAAAATACATATATCTTGCGAACTACCAAATCAATTTTAGCAATTTTGTTTTCATTAGAATTGAATAGTTATTTTTAAAACTTTAATTAGAGAAGTAAAAGGGATTTTCTTAGTAAAATATCCAAGAAAATATGTTTTTAATGCACAACAGTTTTCTGTGCCAGGTTATGTGGATCATGTGGTCAGATTTTCCAAACTGCACATCAGATTTCACGTAACAAGATTATGAACCTTCAAAATGACCATTCTTTCTACTTATTTCTCAAAAACCTGCATAAAAACACATTTAGTGCACTAACAAAAAGTTTTTCTTGACTGATCTTACAATATAACAACCCAATCTCTAACCTTATTTTAAACGCTAACTCTAACATATTTTGTCTGCATTATATTATCAACATAACCTGGCACAGAATATCTACATGTATTTTTAATATTTTATAAAATGCAATTTTGCAAGCATTTAACTAAGTAAATCTTCCTTGTACCTCTAATTAAAGCTTTAGAGGTAAGCATTTTAATTCTAATAAAAGCAAAATTACTAAAATTTGTTTGGTATATTGGAGTTATATGTATTTTTATCTTCGTGATTATTTGGTAGATATAGTAGGTTTGTACATATTTACAAAGATTTAAATGCTTATATTTAGAGTAAAATAAACCAATTTTAGTGATTCTGGTACCATTAGAATCTTAATAATGGCTTCTGCAACTTTAGTTAGAGGCTAAATTCGCTTTCTCTTAATAAAATATTTAGCGATTATTATTTAAACTTTAATTTTTTGATAGATGCAAAATTACGTGAACTGGTAGGTGTTCGGAGACTTTCTCGGGAAAGCCTCTAGACACCTACCATTCACGTGATTTTGTACCTACTGATTACTGGTATATGATATACCGATGAGTAGTAGTACCCTAGCCATAGCAAAAAAATTTCGGGTCATATAATCATGATTATCTGATTATAGCCAATTAGATTCACAGTTAATACGTAATGATAATTATCTGATTATATCCAATTAGATTCACAATTTAATTATACTAAAAATGTATATCTTGGTGATCGATTGCGATAAATATTTTTTGATTGTAAGAGAAAAATTAAGATATGTAAATACAGAAAAATTTAACTGTTTTATATCTCACAAATTAGTCTTTTTTTGCATATATAATATTAAGTGATCAAAAAATTACAAGATTTTTATACAGTTGTTCTCCTCTACAGTTACCTTCTATATAATCATACCCTTCTGATAAGCACCATTTTTTGAAAAATTATTGGCGATATATTTATAAAAATAACTTTATAATTAGGGAAATTCTATTTTCACCCAGGTTAAAGTCACCCGATATATAATTTTTATTATACTTCATAATATAAATTCATATAATATCGTAAAATCCATCTACCCTAACCTTTAACTAATCAATCTATAGAATTTCTGGTTGGTTATAGTAGTTTGTATTATTTAATATAATAGAAATTATATATCGGGTAACTTTAACCCGTGTGAAAATAGAATTTCTCTTATAATTATATTATTATTTAAATTTATAATCTCATCTTTTTTTATGTAAACAAACAGCATGATTATAAAAGAGGATGACCATATATTACACAATTTTTGTATCATTTTTTGTGAACAAGGTAGGCTTTAAAGCATTAAACTTAGTTATTTTATTAGAAGTAAAAAAAAAATGTTGCTTATATAATTAATATATATATTACTAAATTACAACTATTTAATAAATTAATAGGTACAAACTTGATTTACTATAAACTTAATCAGTTTTTTTCATCTAACTAATAAGGGAAGTGAAGTGATATCTGAATTTTTATTATTATAAACTTACCTATTGTTTAATGTTTTAATTGTTTAATGTTTTAATTATCTTACAAGCCTTTGATTAATATAGCCAATTTGCAAGTTTTCCTTTGGATTTTTAAGTAGATTGCTGTTTATGAGCTTATAATACTGCTTCACATTCTTCAATCTCTTTCAATAATAGTGCCATTAATGTATCAAAATTATTCACGAAGTTATCATTATCCATTTCTTCTTATACATTTCTAACGCAGATTTAAATTTTTTTTTGTAGTAAGTGTATTTGACTTTTCTTTCTTCTATTATATTGTGATTTGCTACTAATTCATCTTGCAAAGTATTTGAACTAGAATCAACTTCAATGGGATTGTAGGCTTCATTCACTGTGTCAAGTCTGGTCCAAGGGTTGTTGATTGGATTAATAACTAATATTTTATTATTGCTGAAAATAAGCAATAGATAATCATGTTGTTGCAGCATTTCCAAAAAGGTTGGTAAAAAATATTTATCATTTTTTTATCTATAAGATGTTTATAGAGATGGTAACAACTATTTAAATATGCAGGGCAAGAGCATACCCAATTATTTACATCAATGTGATACTTTTTTTCTACACCAGGTTGGATGTCTGCTATTGCTCCTTTATGCCATTTTGCCTTGAACTTATGCCACCACACCAAAAAGTTTGATTTCTGTTATATTGAGTTAACTTAATTTCAAAATCAGAAATAAGTTGCTCAGTTATTATTTGAGTAGGTCTGTCTATACAAGGCTAATTATAGTTGTATTTGTAGTTGTATTTAAGAACTCTCCAATGACTTTCTGTTATCATAGTAGTACACACAAATGGCATAGCTGGTGAATATGACGATAAGATAAACAGTTTTCAGTTCTTTTCATTATACCAGTTTGCCTATAAATAGCCCCATAATCTAACAAGGTTATGTGTATGACAAAACTAATACAATTCTTAAATGCAGAAATGATAGATTTCTGCTGAAGTTATATAAAATTTTTTTCTAACAAGAATAAGGGGATGCATTGATAAATATTTTTAACTATATTTAAAATTTCTTTAATGTATTTATCTGGGCAAAAGGTTCCAGTACTGCCTTGAATCCATGATGGATTGATGAACTCGAATTTGCAATGTGCTTCTAATATTTTAGTTTCAGAATATATACTTACTTTTGATTTTTTTATTTTAATTTTCTGTTAATTGCATGTAGAATATGCTAGCAACAAATTTGAATGTTGGCTGTCCATGACCAAGCCTCACTAACAGAAGAAATCTCTTCTGCATCCTTATCTACTAATATAAACACCGGCCACAACCCCTCTTGGCGAAGATTATTGAAAATATACACAACACTTTGACATAGCATTTTGCAAAATTTGCAGGATTATTTTTAGCTACTTCAGTACTATCTGAAGTAGATAGATACATGTATATTATTGGCATACCATAGCCGCCACAGTTTAAATTCACGACAAATAGCTCAAACCTTTCTTTATTTGTCTTAAAGGTTGAATCTATAACGATTTCTGTTGCATTTTTTATATCAATACATCTAAACAATGGTGTCAAAAATCCTAAAACCTATACAAAGTCATTTTCAAAGTAGGTAAGTACTTTAGATCCTTTTTCTACAAATTTGGGTTGTTCAAGATATAGCTTCGCTGATAAGAGTAAATTGTCTTGATTAATTGTGTATATATTTTTACTACAAGCATATATCCAGTAGTATATCTGTTCAATTGTATAGATTTCTGGATTAATAAGTTTACTTATACAGAACCAATGATATACTTCTGTACATCTTATATTAAACAAAATATTTCATTGAATCCATTTTCTTGCTTCGATTGAAAATTCTATTAGTTGGTAGGTTGGTTTTGTATGTGCAACATTGTAATGCACTTGAACTAATACATAATGCTCTTTTGGAATGATTGTGAGCTTTATGTTTTCTGAACAGGCATACCTTTCTTGGGTGCACAGACTTCACTTATTCTTTTAAGAGATTGGGTATCTGGTCTTTTCCATGCTCGATCCTCTCGCATAGTGCAGCCAAAGTATATGGTTGCAGAAACTAAGAACTTTTTTCTCCAGCTATTCAGATATGTTTTGTATACTTCTCAATAATAGCCAAAACCTGACTCAAGTGGCACAATAAATGCATAGGCAAGTTTATAAAATTTATTTTTAATTGTTTTTAAATCATTACTATCTAAATTGTGTTAGTTAAAGAAACAGCATCAAAAAGATCTTGATCTATTTCAATCTCATATATAAATTTTATAGCATCATTTTGTGCTTCTGCTTCTTCGAATATTTTTGCTGTAACTTCATACATTTCATTCAGATTGTATTATAGTAAGTTTAGATTATTATTATCCTGGTCAGGTGATCAGAAGAAGAAAAAGGAAATACGAAACATACCCATAAGGTCCGAAGATATCGACGATGCAACCGAAGATGAAAGCGACCGTGAAATGTTGGTTGGACATGAGGATGAGTATGACGAAGGGTTGAATAATAACTTACCCGAAAAGTTCCTGGAAAAAGAAGCCCTGACCCTGTATCGTGAATGTAAAAAATGGATGGAAAAAGTTAGTAAAGTCTGGGTGGCCATGAGCACAGAAGAAAGACTCACCAAAATAGAGCCAACCGAAGACGGACAAGAGGCACTAAGAAGTTGTGTAGGTACCTCTAAAAACGAAAAAACGGCGTTTGAATGGGACTTGAAATCTGCAGAAGGTCTTGACGAAGCCTGCGAATTCTGGAATGCAAAGATTAATGAGTTTAGGAAAATGAATGAAGGCGACCAGAACACGATAAAGAGCCCATACCTGATTGATCCTGGAGAACCCCCACCTGCTGATATGGGTCTCACTCAAAGCGGAATCGGCATTGAAAAGGATAAGTATGAAACGCGCATACAGCATTAAGAACTTGCTGATATGAACCATGGTGACGAAATATGTAACAGTCAAGATGAAAGTTTTGATGAAATCCGTCGTGGATCTTGCTATCGAAATGATACTGATCTTGAAGTTGGAAGGAAGAAAGTGGATACCAAGGATGTTGATAAAGATAAAGAAGATTGTAGAACGTTAGTAGGCGACGATGAAGTATTTGAAATAAAGGACATAATTTTCCGATACTTACCAGCACATGACCTCAGTAACTCTGTCTTCGATCCTGGAGGAAACCAGAGGAATGTCAAAGTGTATCCACAAGTACATTTCTAAAAATATCATGCTGGTATTGTTACCAAAATGGAATCGGAACTAAAAGCACTTGAAGAAACTTACCTGAAGTTCAGAAATCCGACGTTAAATTCAATACGGTTTAGGTAGTCTGTGGCCTAGCATCTGATAATCGAAAAGGAGAAATGCAGTTGAAAGTTTTATTTTTTTTATTGTTTTATTTCATTTTTTTTATTTTTGTTTCTTTTTCTTTCCTTTTTGTTTGTCTTAGTTTTCTTTTTATTTTTGTGGTGGTATTCTCATGGAATTCGAAAATAAGGGCGGGAGAATGTGAAAGGGAAAAGTCGTATGGGATCGACGTCAAAGTGGTTCGAGTCGATTTAACCAAATCGGGCAAAAGCAATTATAGCTGGCAAATATGGCAGATATGGCAGCTATGG